TGGGTCAGAGACAAAGGCTTTCTTACCCCCGCAGGCTGCAAATGGGTCAGCACGTGTACTGGTTTCCCTCACCCACAGAAAAGACCTGCGGATGGATGCCTACACCCACAGTGGGTTGTTACAAAGAGGAAGAGTAAGCTTAGGGGACCTGCCCCGTCATTTCATGCCTCAAGGTGCTCGCTGTACAACCCTGAGGGATGACCTAGGGACAGAGTTATTGGGGCACACACTCCTGGCACACCGACAGCTGCGGGAGCGTGAAAACTCTGTGGAGGGGTCTCCCCGGTGTGCGGTCCGACACCGTCTTGGCGGCTGGTGAATTTGAGTTTGTGGACCACCCTGGTTCATCTGACCGGCAGAGGCTGGGGCCAAATGCACTTGCCCGTCTCATACAGCATCTAGTCAAGGTTACTAGCAGCAGACTCCAAGCAGCAAAATGAGGGCAGTCTGCGGTGCTAACCCCAACCAGGCGGCCCGGGGGCCGAGGGCAGGTGGACCCGAGGGTCTTATCTCAGCTGGATATAAGCTAAGGCTCCCATCCCAAAAACCCATACAAGGGAGCTCGGATGGACCTGGTGACCTTTGACGTCACTGCAAGACCGAAAGTCAACCATCCTCCCAGTGGAGACATCCTGTGGGTCCCCTTCCCATGGACACACACACAACCTGCAGGGTGCAGGGTGCTCCAGCTCAGGAACTGCTAGGCATGACAGGGACACCACGTCCTTGGCTAAACCCCGTGGGCGGCCCTCCTGAGCTGCAGCCTCGCTGTGGCACCGCCTATGGCTCCTTGGGCATTAGAAGCAAATGATTTTGTACTGGCCATTGGAACAAGGCTGTGCCAGTCCATGTGTTTACAGAGACATCTTGTGGCGGGGTGGAGGGGGACACCCCCACATTCCGGAGCTGCCACTGATGGCGTCAGGTACAGGAAAGCTCCCAACCGGCCATGTCTACACGTGTTTCTGTCGTGGGCCAGAGGCCAGCTGCGGATGCCGGTGGACTCTCAGGTGGACCAGGTCACTGCTTGGCCAGGCAGTGGCTTTGGATCTAGAGGCCAGAGGGAAGCCGACTGTGCCCTCTCCGCTCCCCACCCGTCCTGGGGTCTGAGCTGTCCCCTCTCCAGTTGCCGATTTGCTCTCCCTCCAAGAACATGAAATGGGTGTGTGTCCTATCCCATTAAGCAAAACTTCTGTTGCCAGCATCTCAGATGTTTCTGAAGGGGTCAGACGTGCGTGAAACAAGGGCATTTTCACACATGTACCGAGGTCCATTCTCTGACCATGCGGCCAAACCGGAGCCACACTGTAGCGAGACTTGGCCAACAGGGTCAAGTGGTCGCCGTCTTCGTGACTCAGGACAGTCGGCCCAGGAAAGAATCCCAAGGGCCAAGCAGAACCAACTTCAAGTCCCACAGGCCCCCTTGCAGTGGGCCTGCCCTCTAGAGGCTACACCAGCTCCATGGGCCTGGGCTTGGTATTAAGAGGAAGAAAAATGGATCATATCCAGGGGCAAGGGCAGAATCCCAAACTTTTTTTTTTTTGAGTTGGAGTCTCACTCTGTCGCCCAGACTGGAG